TAAGTCCTCTCTCTCTCTCTCTCTCAATTGTAACTAATTTATCACACAAATTAAGGTAGTGGATTGCAAATTGTGTGCGTAAAAATCTACGCCAAACATGTTTCGAGAGAAATATTTTCCACTGAGATTCGAAAAATGATATTGAATGATGAAAATTATTATTAAATATTTAAAAATTTAAGATAAATTGTAAATGCACTTTTTGTGATTTGCTTAAAATATGAATTGTCTTCTGTAATTTTAGAAATTACATCTCACCCATTCAAGTTTGTAATCGCATAACAAATGACATATTTTATCAATAAATTATCAAGTCAATTAATAGTTTTAATGATGTTATGAATATATTTCAATTAATTCAGATAATTTTATTATTATATAGGAGAGTAATTAGAAAATTTATTTTTTTTCATTAATTCTGTTAAATACAAAATATTAAGAAAGTGTATTGTGATTTCCAAAACTATAGGGCGTAATTTGTATTTAAAACAAATCTTAAAGAATGTACTTGTATTTTACCTTTAATTTTATTTATTTTTATATATTTAAAGGTCTTATTTATATTTTAGGTATAGTTTTGGGAGGCAAAATAAAGTTTCAAATAAAATTTTGGTGCCATGTTAGTAACTTTTATTTAATTATAGACAACAGTTGATAGCGGAATAAAATATTATACAATTTCAATATAAAATTGATATTATTAAAAGAATATAGGTTAAAATAATTTTTTAGAGATTATTTAGAGATAAAATGAATTTTTTTTCTTGATTTGATATGAATTATTTCAACCGTGTTATCAAATTTTCATCAAAATCTATGCTCGCCTCAATCTAATCATTTGTATCCCACCCCTTCCATAGGATTAAGTTATTCCTCATATGAGATACATTGTCCAAATTAGACTAGTAATCCAAAGATCCTTTTTTATTTTTATTTTTACACTAAAACATGGATAAAAGTTTTCATTGGACAAAGAAATCATTCCCATGATTATTTACTACCAAACAAACATGGCCTTACATGATTCTATGACCATCTTCAATTTTTTTTTTTCCAATACATCATATATTATTGAAAGTTTATATTTCCACACACCTTTGAATGGGGTGGAATGGAATGTTAGACAACCAAATGCTAGTAACCACCCAGCGATACGATCAATTATACAATCACAGATCTGACGGATCAAATTGAGCCTGAAAATGTTTGAGTGTAATGCACTCATACCCAAATGGGTATACCACATTCATTCTTAGTGTGCCTCTTGCCCTATAAATATGCAATGGTCCAACCCGAAAAAAATACTTCTCCGAATTCAGAATTATCGTTGCAATTCTAACTCTCTCCAAAATTAGCATTATGATTTTGCTAATTTCTAATATCGACTTATTGTAAACTTGAAAATTAGTGTCTTGGTTCTCTTATGCATCTCAAGGGTATCTTGGAATCGAATTCGCAATAACATTGTGCACATTATCTGGTGGAGAAAAAAATATTGTCTTGAGAAACTGACGGCGCAATGCAATTTGAAATAAGTAGATTTTATCATTTCGTTAGAGGTTCTCCAAGACTGCAAACTTGAAGTTCTGAATTTTTCTAACAAATTGTCCTTTTAACTTCTTGGTAAAACATTAGATAAGAAGCATTGTGCATCCGTGTGGCTTATTTTAATAACTAAAATAAAATAGAGTGACAAGATGTTCAAACAAGATATACCACCAACCCTTGATGAGTCTCATGCAATTGAGTAGAGGAAAAATAAAGAAATAACAATTAATGCATCTCCAGACTCATCTGTTTATTTTATTTTTATGGGACTCAGGTTTAAGAGCTTGAGATAAGTGTAGATGGTACGAATTTTTCTATTCTCAATGAAGGTACACTAAGGTTAAGGGTGGTTGTGACTCCTAATAGACAAACAAAAAAACTCTCATATACTAAGGTCTCAAAATAATTTATATGATTGAATGGCCCCAGTCTCGAAAAAGTGATATAGAAACTCAACTTCTTTTACGAATATTGTTAAAATTAAACTTTGAAACAATATGAACGATGACAAAACCACTTGAATACAAAATTCAATTATATATTAATTCTGAAGAGTCGTCGAGTGCCACTTTAATTGATAAATCATTTAGTACGCATATTGAAAAATAATGTTTCTTATGTTACTTTTGCATCCTCTTAATTCATATTCTTAAATAAATAAAACAAAACCACAAGGAACTAATAATTATGATTTTTTTAACCACGTGTCATATCACATATTTTAAAGTTTCATACAAGGTCTCAAAATACAATCTTCATGGTAAAAACAAACGACATAAAGTCGATCTCCCTCATACTCTGTGTCATCTGAACCTTTTGCAATTCAAACATTGTTGGTATGGCTCATTGTGCCAATTGGTTAATTGTTGCTAGTGCATTACTAATAAGTTTCTCAGCATCAGTGACCTGTCCTTGTATGGAGCCCTTAATTTTACTATCTATAGCTTTGCTTGACAATCCTTCCTCACAATCATCTATTTCAGTTAAGGCAGCACTAGTCCAAGTTTGCACGTTGCCCTTGTGAAAAACAAACTTGTCACCCTTGACTTGGCCCAAGAACTTAATCTCTCGTACTGATTGGCTAAGTTTGTCCACACTTTCTTCAACATGACCCAAGCAATCCTTCAAGATTTCGGAATCTGTGGCCTTAAGTCCCTTAAGGGTTTTTAGCTTCAACATATTTGCTTTTATGGATCCAGCTGCTGCCAAGCTTGTCGTCAACGCAGTGCGGGCCTTAACAATATTTGCCAGGGTGGTGGATTCACCTGTACTCGAAATGTACAAGACATAGAGGGCCAAGAGAAGCAATTGAAGGGTAGGTCTTGCCATGTTTTAGAGTAGTGTGGATTTATTGATTGAGGAGGATGGTTTAGAATAGAGTGAATTTGTTAAATGAGGAGGATGCGGGTTAAGAGGTCTCTATGGCAACATTTTATAGAGCATGCTTTGGTCTATTTTTGTTCTAACGTGAGTTCCGCGTAACCCTGGGTGAATATTGTGTCACCAATTTGACCATGTACCATAGCAATTTCAGCATTTACTCTATTTAGGTAAGGTATAGATGTGCAAAATATGAACCAATCATATTTGTTGTGTAAAATGTTGGAAAAAAATGGTTTTTTTGGTGACTTTAATTAAATATTAAAGTAGGTCCCAACCATCTATTGTGTTGGGTCCAAGTGGGTCTAGATACTTTGCAATGAGATCTTTACACCACAAATAGTATAGCAAAAATCATTGAGAATTGAATGAGAAATTGCCCCATGAAGTTAGGTTCATGAAAGAGCTAATGGGGTTTGTAACTTCTGCCTTTATTGCAGAGTTTAATAGTGCATTAATGGGGTTTGTAACTCTTGTCTTTATTGCAGAGGTTAATGGTGCATTAATGACCAGCCATAAAGGCTGAAGGGTCTTCCTCTCTCCGCTATACATGTATAAATTGAGACCCTCCTGTCAAGTCTCAAACACAGAAATTGTTTCTTCCATTCTTTATTCAGTTTGCCAGAAAGTTCCTACTGTGAGAGAGTGCTGCCACTGTTTTTGTTCGCTAAGCTAGACAGAGAGTGCTTCTGCCGTAGCTGGTTTTTTGACTGTCGTATCCTAGGAGACAGACGCTGGGATTCCTCAAGCACTCGACCCGTGAGGCGGCGAAATCTGTTTTAAGGAAACTGCTACCGTGCAGGCTTCGATGAACAACATAAAACACGTATAATATGAAAAAATTAGTGAAATTCATTTCCTTGCAACATGTAAGAGTTTTATGGAGCAAGTGTTTTTGTCTCTAATTTGAAAATTTTGTTGCAAAAAATATACTAAAGTGACAAAATAATTTATATGATAAAATGACCCCAACTTGGGAAGAAGTGATATAGAAACTTAACTTCGATTATGAATATTGTTAAAATTAAACTTTGAAATAAGATAAAAGATGGCACAAAAATCTTAAGTCTGAAATTCAATCGTATAATGATTCTAAAAAGTTGTCAATTGCCATTTAAATTAATGAATCAAATGATATGTATGCATATTAAAAAATAGAAAAAAAAAATATTTCGCTCTCTAAACTATCACTCAAAAATCATTTCAACACATGTTATTTTAATAATATTAATTTTACACCTAAACTATTTGATTTTGAATCAATTTTTACTCTTGTCGTCGACTGCCAACTATGGTCCAATGAAAATTACTGATGCTACATTAGAACATCATTTTACCCCAAACTAACTCCAAAATATCAATTGACCCCTAAATTTATAAACATAAATAAATTTGAAAATTTAATCATTCTATATTGCATCGAAAATCTCAAAAGAATATGTTTCTTTCAAAATACGTGTGGTCTAGATTTTTTACCAACACGATTTTCAACCTAGTACTAATTGATCAGCCCTATTAAAATTAATCTCAAAGATAAGATAGTTAGAATTATTGAGAGAGAGAGAGAGAGAGTAGATTTAGAATTTTGGACTCAATTAGTTTTAACATGTAATTTGATTTTAAATTTAAGTAAAATGTTTGATTTAAAAGGAAATTTTATTTTGCCCCCAAAATTAGTATTCAAAAATCAATTTATCTCATATTCTTTTAATAATATAATTTTATATATGAACTATTTATTTTTGCATCAATTTTACTCATCCCATTAGCATACATTTATAATCAAACAGAAGTTGTTGATCTAACACTAAAACTTATTTTGAATTTATTTTATTGCCTCCCAAAATATCAATTTGACCTCTAATAATAATAATAATAATAATAATAATAATAATAATAAATAGAAAAAATAGCATCTCCCAGGGTCACATCACCTCTCTTCACATATTTTAAAGTTCCCATACAAGGTCTCAAAATACAATCTTCATGGTAAAAACAAACGACATAAAGTCGATCCCCCTCATACTCTGTGTCATCTGAACCTTTTGCAATTCAAACATTGTTGGTATGGCTCATTGTGCCAATTGGTTAATTGTTGCTAGTGCATTACTAATAAGTTTCTTAGCATCAGTGACCTGTCCTTGTATGGAGCCCTTAATTTTACTATCTATAGCTTTGCTTGACAATCCTTCCTCACAATCATCTATTTCAGTTAAGGCAGCACTAGTCCAAGTTTGCACGTTGCCCTTGTGAAAAACAAACTTGTCACCCTTGACTTGGCCCAAGAACTTAATCTCTCGTACTGATTGGCTAAGTTTGTCCACACTTTCTTCAACATGACCCAAGCAATCCTTCAAGACTTCGGAATCTGTGGCCTTAAGTCCCTTAAGGGTTTTTAGCTTCAACATATTTGCTTTTATGGATCCAGCTGTTGCTAAGCTTGTCGTCAACGCAGTGCGGGCCTTAACAATATTTGCCAGGGTTGTGGATTCACCTGTACTCGAAATGTACAAGACATAGAGGGCCAGGAGAAGCAATTGAAGGGTAGGTCTTGCCATGTTTTAGAGTAGTGTGGATTTATTGATTGAGGAGGATGGTTTAGAATAGAGTGAATTTGTTAAATGAGGAGGATGCGGGTTAAGAGGTCTCTATGGCAACATTTTATAGAGCACGCCTTGGTCTATTTTTGTTCTAACGTGAGTTCCGCGTAACCCTGGGTGAATATTGTGTCACCAATTTGACCATGTACCATAGCAATTTCGGCATTTACTTTATTTAGATAAGGTATAGATGTGCAAAATAGGCATTCGACTCCAACCGTAATCATATCTTGTTCAAAGTTTCTAAAATTGATAAATGATATTATGACTTAATATACACAATATCGGACTTGATAACTGCGTCAACTCATACAAAGCAGTCATATTTGTTATGTAAATCACATATAATGTCAAAAACTTAGTGAAATTCATTTCCTTGTAACATATAAGAGTTTTATGGAGCAAGTGTTTTTGTCTCTAATTTGAAAATTTTGTTGCAAAAAATATATTAAAGTCTCCAAATAATTTATATGATAAAATGACCCCAACTTGGGAAGAAGTGATACAGAAACTTAACTTCGATTATGAATATTGTTAAAATTAAACTTTGAAATAAGATGAAAGATGACACAAAAATCTTAAGTCTGAAATTCAATGGTATATTGATTCTAAAAAGTTGTCAATTGCCATTTAAATTAATGAATCAAATGATATGTATGCATATTAAAAAATAGAAAAAAAA